TTTTAAGTTCTGCCAGTTCAGCTTTCATGTCTGCCCTTAGAGACTCTATGTTGCCATTAATTGATTTCTCCATTCTAGCCATTGTCTTCACAAATGCTAGCCTGAATTCCATCTCCGACATCTTGGTTATATCTGCATCCATTTGTAAATCTGCAGCATAAGTCATGGTCTCTGAGTCTTTTCTATTTTGGGGGTTCCTCCTCCTAGTCATTCTGTTGATGGGTGTTTGAGGGAATGTATAGAGTCCAAATTATTGACCAGAACCCAAGCAAGATGCACCTGTTTTCTTGGGACCTTAGGGTTGCTGGCCTCTTTTTTCCCAGCCTGTCTTCTGGGGGAGGGGCCTGCCATGCTGTTACTCAGGTAACCCTGTTTGGGGGAGTTGCCCTGCCCCCCTGTGGTGGGGGATGGGCTCAGCAGGAATCAGTTTTTGGGGCTCTTGTTCTCTGGCAGCTTTCCCTGGCTGCTTTCCACATCTCTTCTGTGAGTCAGAGCAGAAGAGACCATTTCCAACCCTCTGCCTCAGCGCAGAGAGACCGCAGTCTGTTCTTCAGTGAGCCCTCCAGGTCATATTGTCTCCGTTTCTGTCCATGCTGCTATAAACTGCAGCGTCCTGGGTTGTGCACCCCTCTGCAGTGCCCCCAGTCCTGCCTCCAGGTCGGGGCACGTCTCTGCCCTTTGTACTTCTAAAACCGCCAGCCGCTCCCAGTTCGCATGACCCTGCCACTCCGGGTTTCTGCCCCGGGGGCTGCAGTTCGTAGGCGCGACCCCGCCACTCCGGGTTTTTGCCCCAGGGGCTGCCCTAGAGTCCTTTCCCCACCGCTACCGATCTGCAAGTCTGTGCCCCGTCCCCAGCGCACGAGGCTGTTGCTCACCTGCGGTGTAGGATCCCCATGGCCAGGCACCTGCCTGCTGCTGTTTATCCTCCAATATCTGCCCATGGAATCACAGCTCCCCACTTCATACCTCAAAACCAACCAACTGGAATATTCTGTTTGTAGAGATCCAGATCTTCTTACATCTCAGGTTGGTTTCGTGGGTACTCAGAGTGATCTGGTAGAGATCCAGCTCAATTCCAGGGACCAGTTGAAATAGGTTCTCTTATTCCTCCACCATCTTTCCTCCTAATCTGGTTTTCTTTCCTTATAATGTCTTTATTTTAGAATCGGTAATGCTGGCCTCATAAAATGAGCTTGGAAGTATTCCCTCCTTTTCTATTTTCTGGAAGAGGTTTATAGAATCCATACCATTTCTTACTTAATGTTTGGTAAAATTCACCAGTGAAACCATCTGGACCTGAAGTTTTCTTTTTAAAAAGACTTTTATGTAGAATTTAATGTCTCTAATAGATGTAGCATAATTTAGATTATTTCTTCTTGAGCAAGTTTTGGTAGTTTGTGTCTTTTAAGGATTTATTCTATTCTTTTTTTTTTTATTCTTATGTTAATCCCCATACATTACATCATTAGTTTTAGATGAAGTGTTCCATGATTCATTGTTTGTGCATAACACCCAGTGCTCCATGCAGAATGTGCCCTCCTCAATACCCACCACCAGGCTAACCCATCCTCCCACCTCCCTCCCCTCTAGAACCCTGTTTGTTTTTCAGAGTCCATCGTCTCTCATGGTTCGTCTACCCCTCCAATTTCCCCCACTTCATTCTTCCCCTCCCGCTACCTTCTTCTTCTTCTTCTTTTTTTTTTCTTAACATATATTGCATTATTTGTTTCAGAGGTACAGATCTGAGATTCAACAGTCTTGCACAATTCACAGCGCTTACCAGAGCACATACCCTCCCCAATGTCTATCACCCAGTCACCCCATCCCTCCCACCCCACCCCCCACTCCAACAACCCTCAGTTTGTTTCCTGTGATTAAGAATTCCTCATATCAGTGAGATCATATGATACATGTCTTTCTCTGTTTGACTTATTTCACTCAACATAATACCCTCCAGTTCCATCCACGTCATTGCAAATGGCAAGATCTCATTCCTTTTGATGGCTGCATAATATTCCATTGTATATATATACCACCTCTTCTTTATCCATTCATCTGTCAATGGACATCTTGGCTCTTTCCAGAGTTTGGCTAATGTGGACATTGCTGCTATAAACATTGGGGTGCACGTACCCCTTCGGATCCCTACATTTGTATCTTTGGGGTAAATGCCCAGTAGTGCAATTGCTGGATTATATGGTAGCTCTATTTGCAACTTTTTGAGGAACCTCCATACAGTTTTCCAGAGTGGCTGCACCAGCTTGCATGCCCACCAAGAGTGTAGGAGGGTTCCCCTTTCTCGGGATTCCCGCCAACATCTGTTGTTTCCTGACTTGTTAATTTTAGCCATTCTAACGGGTGTGAGGTGGTATCTCATTGAGGTTTTGATTTGGATTTCCCTGATGCTGAGCGATATTGAGCACTTTTTCATGTGTCTGTTGGCCATTTGGATGTCTTCTTTGGAAAAATGTCTGTTCATGACTTCTGCCCATTTCTTGATTGGATTCTTTGTTCTTTGGGTGTTGAGTTTGATGAGTTCTTTATAGATTTTGGATACTAGCCCTTTATCGGATATGTCATTGGCAAATATCTTCTCCCATTCTGTCGGTTGTCTTTTGGTTTTGTTGACTGTTTCCTTTGCTTTGCAAAAGCTTTTTATCTTGATGAAGTCCCAATAGTTCATTTTTGCCCTTGCTTCCCTTGCCTTTGGCGATGTTTCTAGGAAGAAGTTGCTTCGGCTGAGGTCAAAGAGGTTGCTGCCTGTGTTCTCCTTTAGGATGTTGATGGACTCCTGTCTCACATTGAGGTCTTTCAACCATTTGGAGTCTATTTTTGTGTGTGGTGTAAGGAAATGGTCCAGTTTCATTCTTCTGCATGTGGCTATCCAATTTTCCCAACACCATTTGTTGAAGAGACTGTCTTTGTTCCATTGGACATTCTTTCCTGCTTTGTCGAAGATGAGTTGACCATAGAGTTGAGGGTCCATTTCTGGGCTCTCTATTCTGTTCCATTGATCTATGTGTCTGTTTTTGTGCCAGTACCATGCTGTCTTGATGATGACAGCTTTGTAATAGAGCTGGAAGTCCGGAATTGTGATGCCGCCGGCTTTGCTTTTCTTTTTCAACATTCCTCTGGCTATGCGGGGTCTTTTCTGGTTCCATACAAATTTTAGGATTATTTGTTCCATTTCTCTGAAAAAAGTGGATGGTATTTTGATGGGAATTGCATTGAATGTGTAGATTGCTCTAGGTGGCATAGACATCTTCACAATATTTGTTCTTCCAATCCATGAGCATGGAACGTTTTTCCATTTCTTTGTGTCTTCCTCAATGTCTTTCATGAGTATTTTATAGTTTTCTGAGTACAGATCCTTTGTCTCTTTGGTTAGATTTATTCCTAGGTATCTTATGGTTTTGGGTGCAATTGTAAATGGGATCGACTCCTTAATTTCTCTTTCTTCTGTCTTGTTGTTGGTGTATAGGAATGCCACTGACTTCTGTGCATTGATTTTATATCCTGCCACTTTACTGAATTCCTGTATGAGTTCTAGCAGTTTTGGGGTGGAGTCTTTTGGGCTTTCCACATAAAGTATCATATCATCTGCAAAGAGTGAGAGTTTGACTTCTTCTTTGCCAATTTGGATGCCTTTGATTTCTTTTTGTTGTCTGATTGCTGTAGCTAGGACTTCCAATACTATGTTGAATAGCAGTGGTGATAGTGGACATCCCTGCCGCGTTCCTGACCTTAGGGGAAAGCTCTCAGTTTTTCCCCATTGAGGATAATATTCGCTGTAGGTTTTTCATAGATGGCTTTTATGATATTGAGGTATGTACCCTCTATCCCTATACTCTGAAGAGTTTTGATCAAGAAAGGATGCTGTACTTTGTCAAAAGCTTTTTCTGCATCTATTGAGAGGATCATATGATTCTTGTTCTTTCTTTTGTTAATGTATTGTATCACGTTGATTGATTTGCGGATGTTGAACCAACCTTGCAGCCCAGGGATAAATCCCACTTGGTCATGGTGAATAATCCTTTTAATGTACTGTTGGATCCTATTGGCTAGTATTTTGGTGAGAATTTTTGCATCCATGTTCATCAGGGATATTGTTCTGTAATTCTCTTTTTTGATGGGGTCTTTGTCTGGTTTTGGGATCAAGGTAATGCTGGCCTCATAAAATGAGTTTGGAAGTTTTCCTTCCGTTTCTATTTTTTGGAACAGTTTCAGAAGAATAGGTATAAATTCTTCTTGAAATGTTTGGTAGAATTCCCCTGGGAAGCCATCTGGCCCTGGGCTTTTGTTTGTTGGGAGATTTTTGATGACTGCTTCAATTTCCTTAGTGGTTATAGGTCTGTTCAGGTTTTCTATTTCATCCTGGTTCAGTTTTGGTAGTTGATCCATCTCTAGGAATGCATCCATCTCTTCCAGGTTATCTAATTTGCTGTCATAGAGTTGCTCATAATATGTTCTTATAATTGTTTGTATTTCTTTGGTGTTGGTTGTGATCTCTCCTCTTTCATTCATGATTTTGTTGATTTGGGTCATATCTCTTCTCTTTTTGATAAGTCTGGCCAGGGGTTTATCAATCTTTTTAATTCTTTCAAAGAACCAGCTCCTAGTTTCGTTGATCTGTTCTACTGTTCTTTTAGTTTCTATTTCATTGATTTCTGCTCTGATCTTTATTATTTCTCTTCTCCTGCTGGGTTTAGGCTTTATTTGCTGTTCTTTCTCCAGCTCCTTTAGGTGTAGGGTTAGGTTGTGTATTTGAGAACTTTCTTGTTTCTTGAGAAAGGCTTGTATTGCTATATACTTTCCTCTTAGGACTGCCTTTGCTGCATCCCAAAGATTTCGAACAGTTGTGTTTTCATTTTCATTGGGTTCCATGTATTTTTTTAATTCTTCTTTAATTTCCTGTTGACCCATTCATTCTTCAGTAGGATGCTCTTTAGCCTCCATGTATTTGAGTTCTTTCCGACTTTCCTCTTGTGATTGAATTCTAGTTTCAAAGCACTGTGGTCTGAAAATAGGCAGGGAATGATCCCAATCCTTTGGTACTGGTTGAGACCTGATTTATGACCTAGGATGTGATCTATTCTGGAGAATGTTCCATGGGCACTAGAGTAGAATGTGTATTCCATTGCTTTGGGGTGGAATGTTCTGAATATGTCTGTGAAGTCCATTTGGTCCAGTGTGTCATTTAAAGTCTTTATTTCCTTGTTGATCTTTTGCTTAGATGATCTGTCCATTTCAGTGAGGGGGATGTTAAAGTCCCCCACTATTATTGTATTGCTGTCGATGTGTTTCTTTGCTTTTGTTATTAATTGCCTTATATAATTGGCTGCTCCCATGTTAGGGGCATAGGTATTTACAATTGTTAGATCTTCTTGTTGGATAGATCCTTTACGTAGGATATAGTGTCCTTCCTCATCTCTTATTACAGTCTTTGGTTTAAAATCTAATTTGTCTGATACAAGGATTGCCACCCCAGCTTTCTTTTGGTGTCCGTTAGCATGGTAAATGGTTTTCCACCCCCTCACTTTCAATCTGGGGGTGTCTTTGGTTCTAAAATGAGTTTCTTGCAGACAGCATATCGATGGGTCTTGTTTTTTTAATCCAGTCTGTTAGCCTGTGTCTTTTGACTGGGGCATTGAGCCCATTTACATTCAGGGTAACTATTGAAAGATAGGAATTTAGTGCCATTGTATTGCCTGTAAGGTGACTGTAACCGTATATTGTCTGTGTTCCTTTCTGGTCTATGTTGCTTTTAGGCTCTCTCTTTGCTTAGAGGACCCCAGGATTTATTCTCTTCTATTTCATCTAAGTTTATGAATTCATGGGCACAGAGTTGTTTGTAATATATTCTGTTGATATCCTTGTAATGTCTTTGTTGTCAGTGGTGGTGGCCCTTCTTTCATTCCTGATATTCGTAAGTTTGTGTCTTCTCTCTTTTTATCTCAGTCATTGTGACTAGAAGTTTAACAGTTTTATTGATCTTTTCAGAGAATTAGCTTTTGGCTTTTTTTTTTTTTTTTGCTTTATTTTCTTCCTGTTCTCTATTTCATTGATTTCTTCTCTGATCTTTAGCATTTTCTATTTTGCTTCCTTTGGACTGAATTGGCTCTACTTTTTCTAGGTTGTTTGTTTGTTTGGTGGAAGCTTAGATTACTGACTTGAGAATTTTTTCTTTTCTAATATGAGCATTTATGGCTACAAATTTCTCTGAATGCACTGTTTGATATGCTGTATTTTCATTTTCTTTTCCTTTTTTTAAAGATTTTATTTATTTGAGAGAGAGAGAATGAGAGAGAGCACACGAGAGGGGGGAGGGTCAGAGGGAGAAGCAGACTCCCTGCCGAGCAGGGAGCCCGATGCAGGACTTGATCCAGGGACTCCAGGATCATGACCTGAGCCAAAGGCAGTCGCTTAACCAACTGAGCCACCCAGGCGCCCGCTGTATTTTCATTTTCAAAAATGTTTCAAAAAATGTTCAAAACATTTTAAAATTTCCCTTGAGACTTCATCTTATTCTATGTATCAGAAATATGTTGCTTAATTTTTGAATCCTTGGGTATTTTCCAGGTATTATTCTGTTGTTGATTTCTAGTTTAATACTGTTAAAATCCAAGAATATACTTGGCATGATTTCTGTTCTTTTACATTTGTTAAGTTTTGTTTTATGACTCATAATATGGTCAGTTTGGTGAATGTTCCATGTACACTTGAGAAGATGTGTATTTTGCATTTGTTTTAAAATTTCCATTAGCTTAAGTTGATTGATGGTACTGTTCAGGTAATCTTTATTCTTACTGATTTTCTACTTACTTATTCTATCAATTATTAAGAGAAGAGTATTGATATCTCTAAATATAATTGTGGATTTATTTATTTGTCCTTTCAGATCTATCCACTTTTGTCTTTGTGTATTTTGAACCACTGTTTTTAGGTATGTACATATTTAGAATTGTTGTATTTTCTTGGAGAATTCACCCCTTTATCATTATGTAATGACCATCTTCCTTGTTTTGAAGTCTACTTTGACTGATATAAATATAGCTATTCAGGCTTTCTTTTGGTTAGTGGTTTGCATGATGTATTTTTCTTTATCCTTTTACTTTTTACCTTTCTTTTCTTTTAAGATTTTATTTATTTATTTGAGAGAGAGAGCACAAGCAGGGCAGAGGGGCACAGGAAGAGGGAGAAGCAAGTTTCCCACTGAGCAGGGAGCCAGACTCGGGGCTTGATCCCAGGACTCTGGGATCCTGACCTGAGCTGTTAACTGACTGAGCCACCGAGGTGCCCCAATTTTTACCTTTCTTTAAGTGTTCATATTTAAAGTGGATTTCTTGTAGACCGCATATAATTATGTATTACTTTTTAAAATATTTAATCTGACAGTTTCTCTCTCTTAACTGATGTAGTTAGATAATTCACATTTAAAGTGATTATTGATATAGTTGGATTAAAATCTAGCATCTTGCTAATTCTTTTCTATTTTTCCACTTGTTATGTTTCTTTTTTCTTCTTTTTTTCCCTTCTCTTGAATTAATTGAGCATTTTTTATGATTATATTTTATCTCCTCTATGGACTAAAAACTTTCCTCAGGGTTTAAAGTTTTAGCTGTCGCCCAAGGATTTAAAATATACATGTTAAATTAATCTGAAAGTACTTTCAAATACTGAACTGCTTCACATGTAGTATCTTATGCATATCTTATAATAGTATATTCCTAAATCCTCATTTTAAAGATACTGTTCTATTGTGTTGTGTTATTTTGTTGTTGTTGTTTTGTTTTGTTTTTTTGGCCTTCATGGTTTCTGTTGATAAGTCTATATTAATTCTTATCTGTGGCTTTTGTAGGTGATTTGTCTTTTTTTCTCTGACTGCCTTTAGAATTTTCTCATTGTCTGCTTGATGTTCTCACAGATTGGATCTATGGTTTGGTGTCTGTAATTAATTTAGAAAATTCTCAGCCATTACTTATTCAAATATTTCCTCTCTTCTCTCTCTCTTCTTCTGTAGGTCCAATTACATGTACATAAGATCATTTGAAATTGTCTCACACTGCTTGGATGGTGTTTTTTTTTTTTTTCCCTACTCTTTTTCTCTTTATTTTTTAGTTTGGTTAACTTCTTTTTTTTTTTTTTTTAAAGATTTTATTTATTTATTTGAGACAGAGAGAATGAGAAAGAGAGAGAGCACATGAGAGGGGGGAGGGTCAGAGGGAGAAGCAGGCTCCTCGCCGAGCAGGGAGCCTGATGCGGGACTCGATCCAGGGACTCCAGGATCATGACCTGAGCCGAAGGCAGTCGCTTAACCAACTGAGCCAGCCAGGCGCCCATAGTTTGGTTAACTTCTATTGACTTCTCTTTAAGTACATTGATTTATTCCTCTCCTCCGTTGAGGCTACTGGTGAGCTCAGTGAAGGACTTCTTTATTTCCGTTACTGTGTTCTTGATTTGTAGTTTTTCATTCACTTCCTATAGCTTCCATCTGTCAACTAAAGTTATCCATCTGATTTTGCATGGTGTCCACCTTTTCTATTGCAGCCTTTATCATATTAATCATAGTTATTTTAAATTCCGTATTTAATTACAAGATCTGTCTTATCTGAGACTGTGCTTGATTATTGCTTTATCTCTTCAAAATGTGGTTTTTTTCCTTGCCATTTTGTAAGGCTCATAGTTTTGTTTTTAAATGAAAACTGAACATCTTGTGTGGGACATAGATACTATGTTGGAGGTAAGCATGCCTTTCTTTCTGCTAGCCTTTTAATGTGGGGGGTTTGTGTTAATCTAGTCAGGAGTTGGGCTGAATTTGAGGTTTCTTGTTGCTAAGGTTATCCTCCTTGAACCACAGGCTTCAAATTCCTCTAGAATATCTCATGTCTAGTGTGAGGGCTAGTTTTTCAGAGGTATTTTCTCTATGTCTGGACTCCTCTTGTCTTTGGTTCTTCCCCCCTTTGCATTGCACCCCAAGAGAGTCTGTCTCTCCCAGCTCTCCCAGCTATACTGTATGTCATTTATACTCTATACTGGTTAGCGTGATGGTGAGGGAGGAAATGCATTCCCTGATGTTATAATTAAGCCTCAGTCTTAGGCAAGCACTGTGTGCCTGGGTCTGAGGGGTAGGCCTTTCAAGTGCTCCTGTTTCTTCCCTCGCTGTATTTCCAGGCCCAGCACAGGTTCTTGTTCCTCTCCCAATGGTAGTATTTTGTTTTGTTGTTTTTTCCCTGCTCTGTTTCTCAGAAGCAGTAGGTTTCTACCAGTGTCCTAAGGTGACAGCTTTTGTTGTTCCTGTCTCTGCAGATTAAGTCTTTTGTTCCCTAGAAGAGAGGAGTATGGGAGATTTGGCAGAGGCTGCCGCTTCCCTTCCCCAGCCAATATGGGGAAGGAAGCCAAAGTACCTCATGCTTGTTGGCTTAAACAGTATTTATCTTCTCACAGTTCTGGAGGCTAGAATCTGAGATCAAGGTGTCAAAAGGGTTTGTTTCTTCTGAGGCTTCTCTCCTCAACTGACTTCTCTGGACATCTTCACAAGGTTCTCCCTCTGTGTGTGTCTGTATCCTAATCTCTTCTTATAAGGGTACTAGTGATATTGGATTAGGGTCCACCCTAATAATCTCATTTAACCTTAATTAACTGTTTAAATACCCTTTTCCCAAATACAGTCATATTCTGAGATACTGGGGATTAGGACTTCCAGTATAAATGTGGGGGGGGGGCACAATTCAGCCCATAACTTTCCACCCTCACCCAAATTTAAGTCCTTCTTGCATGCAAAATATATTAACCCCATGCCTGCAACCTCAAAGTCCAACTTTTTTTTTTTATTCCAGCATCAACTATGAGTCCAAAGTCTCATCTAATACAGGTGGAGATGAGACTCCAGGTATGATTCATCCTAGGCAAAATGCTTCTTTAGGTATGAACCTGTGAAACCAGGCAACAAGTTATCTGCTTCCAAAATATAATGTAGGATAGACAATCTCATTCAAAAAGGGAGAAATTGGAA